CCCATGACAAATACGGAACCCTCAGTGGGTACCGCCGCTTTTTCCAACTTTTTGGTTGTCTCAAAGCTGTTTCTTGAAAGCTGCTTAGAAACACTTTCAGTCATTTTGAGCATTTTGCCCTTAAATTACAACTCTATTACTGAATAAATAAATGAGCTGTAATGTCACTTATCTTCTGCATAAGAAACACACTTTCGTGGCTCAAAATATAAGCGAGTGAATGAATGAGTGAGCAGAACCGAGTCCCGCCCCACGCTGCCTGTCTCTGGTGTCACGCACGCACACCTGCTAGCTTCTTGGACTGTAGAATTTGTTGCTGAACACAAGCAGTGCATCTATGAAATGTGCGTTCACATAAATGTGCATTTCCGCATCTTTTTTTTTTTTATGAGCATCCTTGGAGCCCTGTCGATTCACGGCGCGTCCTCACATTCTCCAGGCTGCGAGGCAAGATAGAGCCCTTGGATTAGAGCAGCCCAGAGCACAGCCAGCTGGAAGCCAGAGTCCCTGCCCATCCTCGGTGGCACGTCTGTGAGTGATCTGAGGGCAAGCGTGGCGCTTCGAGCCCGAGCCCGAGCCGTGCACGCGTCGGAGCAGCCTGTTCTCCATGTGTTGCCTTCCGCGTCCTCAGCAGCCCCATGTTGCAGGAACTTCCTCCCCATTTCCCAGGTGAGGTCACTGAGGTCCTGGGAGGCAGGATGTGCAGCAGCAGCACGTCTCAAGGCTGTGTGCCAGCTCCTCGCGTGCCCCGGCTGGTGTGCGCGGGGCCTCACCCCAACTCCCTGTGCTCACAGTGCTGTCCTCTGGGGCTCCTCGGGCCACCTCTCCTGCCACGTCCCAGGCACCCCTGACTTCTTTGCAGCCCTCGGCAGCTTCCCTGGACTCCTGTACCAGCGTCCTTCCAGCCGCTCCGCCCTGGCCTCGGCTCCTCCAGTCTGCCCTCAGGCTGCCATACCAGGGTCAGGTCAGGCCCCACCTGTAGTCCCCAGCCCCACCTGCCCACAGAGCCCAGCTGCAGCCCAGAGCTCCCCATGGTGGGTTGCCGCGGCCGAGGCTCCAGCTCGGCCTCCCAGGAGCTGGTCCACGCAGGCCCACGTCGGGAGAGCCCACTGCAGGCTGTGACCCTGCGACGTTGCCCTCTCCAGAACACTAGTGCTCCCATGTGGGGGCTGCACCCTGCTTTACAATACACGCTACTTTTAAAACATTTGTCAGAGGGCATGCATACTCGTCAGAGAGAGCAAGGAGAGAGGGAGAGACAGAGGCGAGAGAGAGGAAGAGCGAGAGGACAGAGGAAGTGAGAAAGCACCCCTCATGGGGCATGGTCAGGCCGAAATCCCTTCTCCACGTCTCCCTCTTTTTGGATTTTGGGCACGCACAGGCGGCTGGCTGGGTGGGACCGGCCGGCCACCTTCTCCAGCGCCGGCCGG